GGGGCGACCCTGCGTGGTCGCCCGCAACGTGACCGAAAGCTATAATCGATTCCGTCGTTTCAAAAACCAGGGTGAGCCCGAATGCAATTCGGGCCGAGCGCAGCGAGCAGGCAACTGACAGTGTCTGCGCTCGAATTAAAAACAGGATCTCCCATGCGCTCACTCACCATGCCGACGGTTCTTTGCTTCAGCCTTCTCGTCTCTGCCACTTCCAGCCGGGCACAAAACAACCAGCCCTTTCCGATGGTCACCGCCGGCCAGTCGATACAGGCGGCCCTCGATGCCCAGCCCGGGCGGATGCTCTTCCTCCCCGCCGGCGATTATGAGATCTCGGAAAAACTGGTCATCCGCAGTGATGGCAGCGGCCTGTTTGGTCCGGGACGCATTATTCAGACGAACCCCGCAGCCCCGTTCATCGAAGTCGAACATCGAAAGGGCGTCCAGTTTCGTGACCTCGTCCTCACTCGACCGGAGGATAAACAGACGACCGCCATCGAAGCCATTAACCTGCGCGACTGTCAGGATCTGGTGCTCGACAACGTCACGGTCCTGAATCACCGCACCCGCTCCGGCGTCTTCTATCTGCTCAACTGTCGCAACGCCACCATTCGCAACTGCACGATCACCAACTATATGCGGATCGCCGTCGACGACCGCACCGCGTCTCCCGACTGGGGCTACGCCTTTCACTGCATCGACGGCACCGGGATCGTCGTCAACGCCAGCACAGGTACCCTGATCCAGGGCAATCGCATCACTGAAACCGAACTGCTGCCCACACCCACAGTCCAGCAGCAACACCAGCTCGGCCAGTTCGTCAAAAAGAACGAGACCAAAGGGACACTCACCAGCCAGGAAACCTGGGAGCGGGAATCGGTCAAAAACTGGCACCAGGGGTCGGCCATCATCGTCACCTCTCCCATCGCCAGCGATCGCACGCAGATCCTGGGCAACACCATCGAAAACGGTGCACAGGGCATCGACCTGCACTCCGACCATGTCATCGTCGCCCAGAACATCGTCTCCAACTGCTTCGTCGGCATGAAAGCGATGCACGGCTCCCGCAACGTGGTCATCATCGGCAACCAGTTCATCAAAAACGATCTCTGGAGTATCGGCCTGATGCCGGGCGCCGCTTCTCACGCTGCCAGACAGGAATCAACTACAGAGTCGGCCCGTGTCGATAACGGCGATGGCGGTTCAATCATTGCGAACAATATCATCTCCCAGTTCGGCTTCGGCAACGCCCACTGGATCTGGGGCAGTCAGGGCAATCCGATTCTGCTCGACGAAGGTCAAAAGCCAGACAACCCGCCATTGGCTGACGTGATTATCCAGGGAAACATCGTTCAGAATTCCGGCCGCTTCCAGCCGGACAAAACAGAGCAGGGACCGCGCTACGTTTACGCCATCCGCATCGCCCGCAAAGCGACCGGCATTCATCTCTCCAACAACCTCTTCGACCCGGGCCGCGAAGGCATCAGCAATGTGGAGTTGAAGCCATAGACAGTCTGACCCGCATTTACGCATTCTCATTGAAGATAGACTGCACACCGAGGGAGTTGTTGCAGTGGCTGATTGAGCAGCAATCGATGTACCTTTCCTCAGAACTTCCCGACTCAGCGGGAAAGCCGGGGCTGTTGTGTACGGTGCTTCCCCGCAATGAGAAACACAGACTCGCAGTTCAACATAAGTATGGTATCGATCCGAACATCATTCTCTGGTGCGAAGTCGAAGAACGCAAAGATCACGGCCTCGGTCGGAAGCATCTGGTTCAACTGGCCGTCTCCTTACTGGTCTGGAAGCGAACCTCGGGAGTGCTGGATCTGGTGCTATACAGTGTCGGCAGTAAATCGGGGGGAATCCTCTTATGCAGGGACAATCAGATCGATGCCGACTGCTCGGACTCGGACTGGGAGAAAACCTGGACCACCGCCTTTGACAAAGCCCGTCTACCGTTCAAACATCGCAGACTGCCCTCACTCATGACAGATTCCACACATGAATGAAGTGCACCATCCTCATGCAGATGTTAAATCCCGCTTCCACTTCTCAAACTTCTGGTAACCAGTAATACACCACAGTGTCTCACTGCAGCAGCGAATACCAGACGATGTTCAATCCCAGTTTCACGGCGTCTTCAGCGACGTAGCCCGGGCAGGCGATGCGGTCGCCATGTTCGATGGCGCAGCTCAGATCGTGGCGGCTGTAGAGCACCGCCAGACGACCGTCGATTTCAATCCCCTCGATTTCAGGAGCGACGCGGGTCACCCGCTCCTCATTGGTTTTCGTCTGCAGATCAATCGGGTGACGGAAACGAACTTCCCGCAGCTCAAATCCGGTGGTTTGCGAAAAGAGTTCGTGGTCGACGGGAATCCGCTTTAGACGTTGACCCGGAAACAGCTGTTCGGCCAGTCGCCGGAAACTCTGATCGAATTCGTCCGCTCCGCAACAGGCATCCGCAAACAGCACGCCCCCCTGTTTGAGGTAAGCGCGCAGCTTCTGCTGCTCACCCTGATCGAGGGCGAATCCATACCGGCCATGCAGATAGAGCAGGGGATGGGCAAACAGTCGCTCGTCGGTTAAAGGCAGCAGTCGCGGTTTCGTCGCAACCTGCACCGCAGACACCTGGTTCATCGCCTGTAGTAGTTTCTGGAGAGCCCGCGGGGCAGCATCCCATTCGCCGGAATGATGGATGCGGGCGATGTTCAGCAGCCGATGTTCAATCCGCTCCGCGTCGGTCTGCTTCCGCTCGGATGCGGTGCGCGGCAGCTCACGGATCAACGTCCGTCCCGCCGCCAGGGCGCAGACATTCACGCCCGTCTGCAGCGCACGTGTGAGATACTTCTCGAACGGCGCAGATCGCTCTGCTCGCACCACCGACGACCATTTTTCCCAGAGACAGGTCAAGTCTTCCGGGGCATAGATAATCGCGGTTCGGCAGCCGGTCTCAGCCCCCCAGAGTTCCACCAGCGGTGCACCACTCTGGCGATCACTCAGCGGAAATTCGCTGCGATAGACGGGGTGTGATCCGTCCAGCTTCCGTAACTGCGTTTCACCTTCCGGATAAAGCCTCGCGACCAGCGACTGCATCGCGAGGTCCGGTGAAGGACTCCGGCAGCCTCCGACGGCAAACAGAAATCCGCCCTGCTGCAGATAGTCCCGCAACAGACGCGTCTGCGGTTCGGTCAACAGACCAGCGTCCGCAACATCGAGCACCACAACCGGCGCCAGTCCCAGATCCTCCGGCCCGGCTCGTTGCATGTCGATCGACTGCCAGGTCAAACGTTTCGGCCAGCCTTGGAGTCGACTGGTAAACTGCGCCAGGTTCCAGGCCGCAGCCGGCGTGTCATGTGCCGACCCCGGGAGGCCGGCCTGATCCGCTCTCGTTCCCGTACCCCATTCCAGCCGACCGACGAGAATCGGCGTCAGTCCCCGCGCGAGGAAATGCAGGGCATAACTGGTCGCCAGGATCTCACAGTCTTCCAGCAGAACAGGCGCCCCTTTCCAGGCGCCTGTAATCGGATTCTGATGTGCGACCAGATACGCAGCCCCCTCGGAATACCAGTCGTGCCGTTGTCCGGTACTGCTGATGAAATAACGACGGCCCGTGAGCCGACCCACCCGTTCCAGACAGTAAAGGTAATAGAGGTAGCCGACCGAACCATCGGCGAGCGGGTCGGTACTCGGATTGTGGGTCACTGTGAAATGATCACCCAGCCAGCGGCACCCCGCTTCAACCGCCTCATCGCGGAATGGCGGACCACAGCAGTCCGGTTGACCCACAGCATTCAGATCGGCCTGCGCGGCGCGGAGCCGATGCTGTGTCGAAACCAGGTACGCGATTCCCGCCGCAGTAATTCCACCCCGGCTGTATTGGCTGTTCTGAGAACCCCAGCCCCCGTCGGGACGCTGTCGCTTCAACCAGTGTTTTCGTGCCCGCTGCCAGGTAGTAGACTGCACGGCCACTCCCTGCTGCGCCGCTTCATACAGACCCAGTGCCGCGTAGTGCGCGTAGTTCTCCTCAGAGTTCCCAAAGCTCCAGGCACCGTCGTTGGTGCCCTCGGAATGGCCGGACTCCAGTTTCTCGGTGAAACGCTTGAGCAACATGAGGTCCTGCGGTTCACCCGCGGTGGCCAGCGTCTCCAGCATCAAGGCGATTTCGTGCGTCTTGACGGGATCCTGCGGACGGAGCCACTTCAACCCCCGCTGAATTTCCGGTGCTTCGGTAGTCATCCCTGCGTGGAGCAGGGCGTGCAGCGTGAAGCTCGTCAGTACCAGCGTCTGTTGCGGACGCGCTGCGAGTTGCCAGCTGCCGTCGTTCTGCTGTTGTTTCAATAAATAGTGGCGCGCCTGTTCGATCGAGTTCAGCACAGCGTCTCTGGTAACCGGTTCCGCGGCCCGAACCGGGACAGACAGCGATCCCCCCGCCACCAGGCAGACGCATAGGAACAGAACAAACAAGCGAACAGCGGTAAAGCGATCAGGCATCAATTCGAACCACGTGAAAGGTGACTGGCGACAGCTGGTCCGGCAGAAGAGGGGAAGTCAGGGCGGATATGCTAAGTACTATCCTAATTCTGATTCAGGGGGAGCGTCAATGTGCGTTTCCTCCCTGAAATAGAGCCTCAAATCGACGCGGAACGCCGTTTCTAGGAAAATCTCAGTTTTTTTTCCCGAAACCGCGTGAGATTCCAGACGGGACACCGCCTGAATGGTATCAAGCCACTTTGAACCTTTTAGAACAGGATGTCAGAATTATGAATACGTCAGTCACCCAGCCTGCTGCTGAAATCGCCGCCTCGAACCGCAAAACACTGGTCATTCCACTGCTCATCATCGCCATCGGCACCGGCTGGTTACTGACGACACTCAACATCGTGCCCGGACTCAACTGGATCTGGATTCTCGGCCTGGCGATCACCGGCCTGACCTCCTTCGCCGTCAGCGGAATCGACAAGTCCTCCGTCCTGATCGGCCCCTTCTTCCTCATCGCCAGCACCCTCTCCGTCCTGAGACAGATCGGCTACGTCACCTTCAATATCGAAATCCCGATTCTGGTGATCGTCATCGGCTGCCTGCTGCTCATCGCCCGCAGTCCTTCCATCCCACTGCCCAAATGGATGATCTTCGATTCCGCAGACCACAGTGGATAGTAAGTTGCAGCCTGTGTGCTGTTGCGTTGATTCCAGTAAATCACTTAATTTGTATATAAACATTAAACAAATGATGGTAGGAGTATACTCTATCGAGAAAGTAGTTCACTCCAGTCAAATGTGGAATACAAACGGTTGTGAAATGACTGACATGTTTCGTCTCGATTATAAAGTGCTCGCGATAGTTCTGGTTCTGCTGCCCGGAACATCCTCACTCGCTGCTGACCAGCGGCTTTCGACACTGATTCACAATGTGTCTGACCACGAGCAGCGTTACCAGAATCTGGAGTTCTATCGGCAGTGGAAACTTCAGTTGAAGCTACCCGGTTCGCTTTTAAAACAAAGAGATGACACGAATCTGTTTCGAGAACTCCAGCGCGATTCGCGGCACGTCTACCAGGACGGGTGCTTTACGATTCAGGAACAGATTTCAGCAGTTTCACTGACGGGCGTGAAATCCAGTCACAAGATTCGCATCAGCTATGATGGCCAGCAGACGCGACTGGTGGAAGACGGCACTATCAGATTCGAACCGGGCAAAGATCTGAACTGGCCCTTACGCAAACCTCACGTCTTTCTACTGGATCGCCTGGCTGAAGAGCCGACCCTTTCCAGGTTGCTGACCAGTCCGACAGCCAGAGGGTATTTTCTCAGCATCGCTTATGAAACAGAAGAAATCATCAACGGCTTGAACTGTCACCGGATCCGCCTCGAAACCTGGGTCAAAGGCCAGCAGCAGCATGATTTTATCCGGATCTGGCTGGCCCCGGAACGCAACTGGATCCCGATTCGTACAGAAGGCTACGCCCTGGGCTATAGTGATTCGATTCCGTTACAGATCAGCGAAATCACAGCGTGGCATCAACCGGCTCCCGGACTCTGGTTCCCGCACAAGATTCGGGACATAACCCATGATGAACAGTCCGCAGCACAGGGAAAAACAGTGATTTCGTATGAGAGTGAAACCTCACTGACGAGTATCTCCTTCAGTCCAAAATTTGATCGCTAATATTTCCAGGAGGTACCGCTGCCGATGGAAATAGGATTACAGAGGGACCCGACAGAGTAATTGCTCAGACACTGCCCAACTGGATGATCTTCAATTCCACAGACCACAGCGGAGAGTAAGCTGCGAGCTCACAGCACAGGAATTCGGCTGGCGTACAGGAAATACCAGAAGAAGATCGCCGCCGCAAAGTTGACCGCATACGATATCAGGCAGAGTCGTGCTTGACCTGCCGGATATTGAATCGAACCGAGCAATATCAGAAAGGCAAAGCCAAAACAGACACACAGCATGGGAACCAGCGAAATACAGGTATCCAAAGCAGGCAGGAGAGGTCGCATCGTTTCATAAGGACCCAGGAATCGCAGCCCGCCATGAAACAGGCAGAACAGAAACAGGGTCAACAGACACTGCAGATAGATCAGACCGCGTAACAGAGTCTGGGGATGCAGCAGCACCGCGCAGATTTTTCTGCAGAGTACGACGAGATGCTCCAGAGAAAACGGTTTTTGAGCCAGCTGAGTCTGCATGATTCGCATCCGAAATGAAGTAAGCCCGCTGTCATCATGATAGCGGGCTTTTGTCTTCAGATCTACAGGAGATCACGGTCGACCTTCGGTTGAAAACGCTTACTTCGATTCCAGGTCGAAGTTGATCGTGTTCTCGCCGGGTTCAACGGTGGCTTCCAGGGTGGTTTTCTTGTTGTATTTTTCGGGAACGGTTTCGCTACCCTGGTCGCCGAACGGATCGTTGGCTTCGTCGAGGGTTGAAATCTTGACACTGTGTTTGCCGGGGATCGCCCCCATTTCGTCGCGAATGTAAACCAGTTCGTAATGACCCGAGGCATCCGTTTTGGCAGCAGACGCCCGTCCGGCGTCCGGGTAAAACCGCACATTCGCATTGGGCAGCGGTTTGCCATCCATGGTTACTACGCCCGAAACCGTACCCAGCTCGGGCTGGTCATCGGGGGCACCACCACAGGCGGTCAGCAACAGGGAAAGCGTCAAACCAAACATCAGCAGCAGCGTGTGTTTTGTCATCTTGAAAATACTCTGGATTAATCAGGAGAAATTAGGGAATGACTGCAGTCCCGCATGGGCTGCAGTCAAAGAGGCACAACGGCTCTCAGTTGAAAACCGTTGTGCTCAAGAAAATAGATATCACGAAAATGGTGACGGGTGGTCGTCGACGGAGGCGTGCTTAGAATTCGCCCAGTACGTTCCCGTCTTTTTCGTTATTCAGCCATGTGTAGGTATTCACGTCGATGTTTTCCGACAGGAAACGGACCGAACCGTCACCCAGCATGACATGCACACCACCGACGTGGGGGCTCGACAGAGCAAACCGGTCGGCAGGGTCGCGGGCACCACCGTTGATGAAGTCATCCGGTGCGTTGTAGCCGATGAAATAGACGTCTTCGGCCTGCAGTCCCCGTTCCCAGCCCCAGGAGGCAGTCCGGGCACCGATCCAGAGTTTACCCATGAATTCATTACAGGCGGCACCACCACAACTGCCGGTCGAACCGGTCTCGTCCTGTGTGGTTACTTCGCCGACCAGAATCGTGTTGGTGGTTCCGTCGCGGAAATCACGAATCTGCAGCTTCTTGTTGACGCCCATCAGCAGACGCTCGGTTCCATAGTTGGATTTTCCAAAGCTTCCCTTGTCGATATTGATGCCACCCATCGGATCGGACGGGCAGTTATACACGGGGATTACGGTTTTGGCGGACGGGATGGAGGTCGAACCGGTATACCCGATGTGCCAGTTCATGGTGAAACCGTTGGTCTCAGTTCCGATCTGATTGTAGAGCGGAGTCTGATCCATGAAGGGCAGAATCATCGTGCCCCAGCCCAGGCCATTCTTGTTGGCAGCTTCGGAAGCATCACCCACGGTCTGATCCCCGTCGATCCAGCCGGGAGGGAAGGTGCGGTGTGTGTCGTGATAATTGTGAAACGCAACGCCCATCTGCTTCAGATTATTTTTACAGGTACTACGGCGGGCAGCTTCGCGCGCCTGTTGTACGGCTGGCAGCAAAAGGGCAATTAAGATAGCAATGATGGCGATAACAACCAGAAGTTCGATCAAGGTGAATCCACGCCAGCGAACGCCGCAGATCACACTACTGTTCCTCTTCATAAAGACATGACCTCAAATTTAATAGAAATGTAATTGAAAATATTTGAGACGCTGCCTTATGTTAGCCACACTCACCACAGAAATTCAATAATATAGTTAAGAAAGAAAGTGTTTCCTAAGATAAATGTGTTTACTGCAGGAGGTTTTTACCTGTTGTGAGAATGGGGCCTTGGTTACCACTTCAGTATTCCGCGGGTAGAGCCAAGTAATGTAAGTCTTATTATGAATAAGGTTACGTTTATTTATTCTTGGCCGGCGTCAGTTGTCGCCGCGCACGACCGTGTCGGGGCTCCCGATCCAGGCAGGCCTGAAAGTCAGCTTGGGCTGCCTCCGTTTTTCCCAGTGCGAGCCGAATCAGACCCCGGTCATACCATACCTGGGGATCTGCGGGGTTCAGGGTGAATGACTGATCGAGCAGGGCTTCCGCCTCTGCGAGCTGATTCTCGCGGTAAGCCAGCATCCCTTTGAGCCGCAAGGCCCGTGCGTGTGCCGCCTTACTTGCCTCCGCCTGCCCCGCCTTTTCCAGGATGTCCGCAATCTGCTGATGCAGGTCCGGATCTTTGGTCAGCAGCGCTGCTCGCTGAGCCAGCTCTGCAGCCTGATCCCACTCGTCCTGCATCCCCAGAGACTGCGCCTGGTAGAGCAGGGTCTCGGCGTTGTGGATCTGCAGGTCGTTCAACTGCTGAATCGTCTTGCCGATCTGTTCGGGACGTTTTCGCTGCAGATTCACTTCCGCCAGCCGCATCAGGAAGATCGGATAATGGGTCGTGGGGCGGTTGTCGAGCAGCTCGATCAATTGCTCCAGTTCGCTCGCCAGCTCATCCAGGGTGCCTCCCGAAATCCGCTGATTGAACTCTTCGACCCGTCGATCGATGCCGTACTGCATTCGATAGGGCTCGATGAAATCGGAACCCGGATGCAAAGGGACTGAGTGCTGGGCCCGCGCCAGTGCGAGGGCACTCCGGTTGACCGCGTCCATGTCACCTTGTCTGCGATATGCCTGAAGTTCCAGTTCCCGGAATTTGAGTGACTGGGGAACCCGCTGTAACGATTCCTGAATCAAAGGCAGTGCTTCCTCAATGCGGTCCGAGCGGATCAACAGTTTGGCCAGTTGATAACGGGCCGGCAGGAAACCAAGGTTTTCACGGAAGATGGCCTCCGCTTTATCGGTCTGTTCCTCGCGCAGATAATTGCGACCGATTTCATAGCGGATCTGCATCCGCTCGCGGTCGCCTTCGCGTCCCTCTTCTGCGGTCTCCAGCAGACTCAGGTATTTGTCGGTACTCTCCGAGGTGCGCCCGGTCCGTTCCAGGCAATATGCGATGCGGCTCTCAGCCAGTCGGCTCGCGGGCATCAGCCGGGCGACCTGTTCAAAACAGAGTGCCGCATGACTGTAATATCCCTGACCCAGTAGTGCTTCACCCAGCTGCATCCAGTCGTAAGGCGCATTATTTTTCTGCACCTGCGTGACCAGTGGTTCGACATCCTCTACAAACAAAGGATCCATCAGCCGCGTTTCGGGCAACACCGGTTCCGGGCGTGCAGCCCGCTGGTAGAACAGATATCCGCACCAGGTGCCTTCAATGATCAATAGCAGCATCAATGCGCGAAATAACATCAGCGACCCCCTTCCGCACGTTGCAGCCAGGCCGAAACCCGTCCGATACGATCAAAGGGTTTCCGCATATTCAACGCACCAGCGGCAATGTCAGGCCGGCCATCCTGGTTCAGGTCGCCCGTTGCAACCGTGACGAGATGGATCGGCTCACTGTCGATCTGCCAGCTCTTGAAGTTCTGCTGACCGTCATTTTCCAGCCAGACAAGGCTCGCATTCCCCGGCGTGTACCAGTCGTTCGTCATGCTCACCAGCACAACGTCCAGGTCCCCATCGCCGTCCAGATCGGTCACATCCCCCGCATACGTACCTCCCAGGTTTGAAATGCGGTGCTGCTTAAACTTCCAGTCGCCCGTGTTCTCAAACCAGTAACATCCGTGGTAGGGCTGTGGGTAGGCATCGAAGTCTTCGAGGTTGTCGCCCGCGGGGAGAATCAGATCCTGATCGCCATCCTGGTCGAGGTCGGCATGAATCAGACCCGCACTGCCCAGGTCCATATTGGGCGTCATCCACAGGGACCGGGTTTTAAATTTTCCCTGGCCCAGATTTTCAAAGGCCACGAGCTCTTCTTCTTCCTGCGAGACGATCGTCGCGATATCCAGGTCGCCGTCCCCGTCAAAGTCGGCCACGGGAACATGAATCGTTCCCGGCGCCCGATGCAGCAGGTGATCCACAAACTGAAAGTTGCCCTGGTTCTCCAGCCAGAGGACTTCACCACGGTTGTAACCGAAGACAGCCACCGCCAGGTCGAGGTCACCATCCTGGTCGAAGTCGCCCGGCTGCACATCGGCGACGCGGCGGACATCATCCAGAATCACATGTCTGTCAAAGCCGTCTTGCGTCTGTTCAAACAGCTCGACTTTGCCCACGACTCCATCATCGGGTTGAATATTGCCCAGCACCGAAATCACCAGATCCAGATCGCCGTCGGCGTCAATATCTACGGCGGTCGCATGCGCGGGCGCAGCGACATCCTCAATCAGCGTGCGCTTCGTCTGGACTCCCTCATTATCTATCGAGATCAGTAGTACCCGGTTATTGCCGGCATCACAGGCGAGAATTTCGTTTTTTCCGTCGCCGTCAAAATCAAGAATCTGCACGTTGGTAATCAGGGGCAGTTCTTTTGACGAACCCTCCGCACTCGCGGTCTGCAGACTCCCGCTGCGATCGAAGTGCAGGGGGGACGCCGGGTACGAAGTGCCTCCCGTGTAGAGTTCGGGTAGACTCCCCAGCGGCGGAACCAGGGGTAAGACAAACCAGGTCGCCAGCGGCAGCAGAATGACGGCCACCAGCATCAGCAGCGTCAAACCATTGCGGTCCGGTATATTCGGTTCCGGGTTCGTCTCGGGGGGTGGGCTGTTCTCGGCGGCAGACATAAGCTCGGGCAGGTCAACGCGGAAGGATTAATACGAGTCTAATATCGCGACCGTATTAGCGCTGCAGTCGCAATCATGGATCAATGCTAGTCCGCGCGCCGGGGAGTGTCAACAGGCGGTCCCGCGTCTGGCAAGCCCGAAATCGCGATCCCCCGCGAATTTGACAGACTGTGAATAGAATAGACTCGCGTATCATGTGGACTTATGTATGATAGAAATAGACCCTTTCTCATTGCACTTCTGCGGAGTTGATTTCCATGATGGTTCGCACTGTTCTGCTCGCCGGCTGTGTCAGTTTTTTCTGGACCGGACCTGTCCAGGCCGGGATGCCCAGCGTCTCACTCGACCTGACCGACATCGCCCAGTTGCGTCTGCAGTCCATCTCCTTCTTCCTGATGGTGCTGCTGCTGAGCGCCCTGATACTCAAGCTCTGCTGGAATCTGCTGGCGAAAGATTTCCCGAAACTGCCCCGCATCTCCTATAAAGGCGCACTCGGAGTCTCGGTGCTCTGGGGGCTGATGTTCCTGTTTGTGTTGACGATGATCTCGGGTGCACGCGAACTGCTGACCCCCGGTGCCTGGGAAAAGAGCGGACGCACGTATCGACTCGTGGAAGACAAACAACCGGACGACGCCTCCCTGGCAGCAGAGACCACACTGGACGAGCGACGCCGCAAGCTGGGCGAACTGCGGTCGGCACTTTTCATGCACGTCGCCACCCACCAGGGCAAATTCCCCAAGAAAGCAGACGAGACCACCTTCGCCGAAGAGTTCTGGCTGCAGCCCGGTCCACTGCAGGCCCGCTACGGCTATGTCGCGGGCGACAAAAAAACAGACCCTTCAGAGCCCCTTGCCTTCGAGCAGGCCATCTACGGCGACGATCAGCAGCTGATCCTGTTCACCGACGGCGCCATCAAGGTGCTTCCCACCAACAAAGCTCAGGATGTGCTCAATGGCAAATGAAACAAAGAAATCGAAAGGACCAACAAAGACTGAGATCGGTGTTGTTTTCATGATCTTCCTGACTCTGGTTTTCCTGGGTGGCATGTATTTTATCTTCCGATTTCTGTTCTACCTTCTCTTGGGCTGGTATCCCTTTTTGCTACGTGTCCAGCCGCAAATGACCGTTTCAGTGCCGGGAATCGTGACGGCGTGTCTGCTCCTGATTCTGTTGACAGTTGTAATTCAGGTACTGGGGGTGCAGGCAACAAAACTGGGATCCTCACAAACTGAAAATCCCCATGCAGGTTCCTGGCGGTTGCGCAGGACGGCTGTCTGTCTGATCTTGCTGATCGTCAGCTTCACGGGAGGACTGTCAGTGGTCGGTATGGCTCATCGGACACGGGAAATCATGAAGGATGACAAAGGATCCTTCTTAACAAGCACAAAAGAATTCTGGAACCAGTACACATTTCTCTTGAATCAACGCAGACTTGGAAAATCAGCAGAGCTCTATTCTGCAGAGAATCAAGAGCGACATCCCACAGTAATCATCAGCTCGACGGGTAAACCGTTACACAGCTGGGAAACACAACTGCTGCCTTACCTGGAAGCACAAGCTCTGTATGAGAAAATTGATCTGAGTGCCCCCTGGAACTCGGAACAGAATGCAGAGCATTTCCGGACTTCGATTCCGAATTTTATCAGGAGTGAAACCCCGGACGAACAGCGGGTCGACAGCAATGGGTTTGGACTCTCGCATCTCGCGCTGAACAGTCGCATTGCTGCGCCAGATCAGGTCCTCAATGATCAAAGCGTCCCGGATGGACTTGCGAATACAATTATGCTCGGTGAGATCAGCACCCGGCTGCCTGCCTGGGGAGAACCGCTGAATGCACGCGATCCCGCATTGGGAATCAACAGGCACCCGCTGGGATTCGGAGCACCGCGAAAGCTGAGAGGCGGAGCCAACATGCTGTTCCTGGATGGCAGCGGGAAATTCATCAATGAAAATATCGACCCCGAAATATTGAAAGCCCTGGCGACGCCCCATGGTGGCGAAGATGTCAGCACGTTCCTGGAGGGGAGGTAAAGCGATGACAACCGACCCGGAAACCACAGGACCCGGCTCCACGAGCTCAGAGCAGTCGACTCCACAGAAATCGGTAGACTGGATTGCGCGGGGGATCAGCGTCTTGACGCTGGCGGGATTCATGGCCTGCCTGGGAGTTATGTTGCCTTTCGTGATCGGCTTTCATCTCCTGTTCGGCTGGGTGGCCTATCTCAAACGCGTGTTGAGTACGCAGACCCTGGTCGTCTCACAACTGGTCTGGTTGATTGTTTTTCTGGCGTTGATCGTCGTGACCCTGCATCTGCTGCTGAAACAGGGATATCACTGGTCACAACGACTGCAGTCGGCCGATCCGGACGCCGCCCCCCTGAACTCCTGGCCTAAACAGTGGACCTGTTCGGTGTTGCTGTTTCTGTTGATCCTGGCCGGGAGCGGAGTGGCCGTGGTGGAAATCGGCCGACAGTTCTGGTCGATGACCACCGGCGATGAGAAACTTGTGACAGCCTATAATTCGTATAATGCAGCCAGACGTAGTGCTTCCAAAAACAATCTCAAACAGATCGGCCTGGCGCTGCATAACTACCACGACCTCCATGATCGCCTGCCACCCGGCGGAATTTTCAATCAGACCGGAAAGCCACAACACAGCTGGATGACGCAGATCCTGCCTTATGTAGACCAGGCACCTCTGTATAACAAGGTCGATTTTCATCAACCCTGGACCGCCGCGGACAATCGTGACATCTTTACTACAGAACTGGATGTTTATCAGATTCCCGGTCCCCGCTTGAACAGGAAAGAACCGGAGCTCCCCCACGGATACCAGCCAGCCGGATACGCGGCGAACGCACGTGTCCTGAATGTGAACTCGGGGCTGAACTTCAAAGAGATCAAAGACGGTCTTTCCAACACTCTGCTGGCGGGCGAAGTCAATTCGCAGCTCAAAGCCTGGGGCGATCCGACCAACTTCCGCGATCCGGCGCTGGGAATCAATGCTCACCCGCGCGGCTTTGGTGGTCCTTTCAAAGGCGGTGCCAATTGCCTGCTGGGAGATGGTTCGGCCCGCTTCATTAATGAAAACATCGACCCGGCCGTGCTTAAAGCACTCGCGACACCCAACGGCGGCGAAGACATGAGCCGTTTTCAGGAGGACTGGTAAAGCCATGTCGAACGAAACGAAAACCGTTCCCCGTCCTGCCCGCGGCCTGGGCTTCAAACTGCTGATCGCGGCTGGCTGCCTGATGATCCTGTTTGCGATAATGGTTTACTGTTTCTTTCTGCTGCTGTTAGGAGTCGTCTATCCGTTCCGTGTCGGGTATCACCTGCTGGCTGGCTGGTATCTGTATCTGCAGCGCGTGGGGAACAGCTTGAGTCGTTCTCCTACACAGGTCGTCTGGTGTGTCGTCATTCTCATTTTCATGGGCGCAGTCCTGCATCTTTTATTAAAACGTGGCTATCGCCTGCGGTTTCAGTCAGAGAATTCATCCGCAGTCTGGCAACCACGGTGGACCTGTACCATCCTGGCGTTGTTGCTGCTGCTGTTGGGCAGCAGCTTTGCAGTGACCGAGCTGACGCAACAGGTCTGGGCGCTGGCTACCAGTCAGGAACGAATCTCATTCGCGTTTGACAGTCAAGGCGGCTGGAAGCGCGAGCAGTCCGGCGATCAACTCGCAGAACTCGGGCTGGCGCTGCACAGTCACCAGGATGTCTATGGACACTTTCCGGCAGGGGGCACCTTCGATCAAACCGGTCAGCCACAGCACAGCTGGCTCACACACCTGCTCCCCTTCCTGGGGGAAGAGCGGCTCTATCGTCAGATCGACCTCGACCAGCCCTGGTCAGCCGACGCTAATCGTCTCCCTTTTCAACAGCCCTTGTACTACTGCCTGAATCCCGGTCTGCGGGAGACCTACCGCTGGGGAGCCGAGGGCGAACCGACTTCCGCAGGCTACCAGCCCGCGCAATACGCGGCCAATTCGCATGTCATGAATGCGAATGCGGCGCCGGGTTTTCAGGAGATCAGTGACGGCAGTTCGAATACGCTGCTCGCAGGAGAAGTGAACGCGCAGTTCAAGGCCTGGGGTGACCCAACCAACTTCCGCGATCCAACGCGGGGCATCAACGCCGACCCGCATGGTTTTGGCGGTCCCTTTCAGGGCGGAGCCCAGTTTCTGATGGTCGACGGCTCCGTCCGTTTCATCAATGAAGACATCGATCCTGCCATCCTCAAAGCACTGGCAACACCCGACGGCGGCGAACCGGTGGGGAAGGGGAGTGTGGCACCATGACAGATGACTTCAACAAAACCGGGCGAGATGTTGCAGAGACGGAGATCACCTGGGGCTATCGTCTGACGCGGCTGGAAACGTTGGGTCTGTTACTGATCCTGATTGCCGCGCTGGGGTTTTTTCAAATCATGTTTCCACTGCTCCTCGGGTTCCTGTTCCTGACGGGTTGGGCCGTTTACCTCTGGCGGTTCCTCTCCCTCTGGACCTTTACGGTGCCGCAGTTCCTCTGGTGTTGTGGTCTGCTATTAGCGGTGGCACTCGTCGCCCATCTTTTGCTGAACGGTCTCTACCAGCGGATCCAGTCTACCCGAGTTGATCATTTACAGACTGCCGTGACAACAAAATGGGAGAAACGCTGGACGGCCTCACTCCTGGTACTGGTTCTGAGTCTCACGGGTTTCAGCTTTGCACTGCTGGGACTGAAGCACACGGTTCAGGAACTGGTGACCACAAACGAGCGACTGCTGCTGGTTCACAAGGGAAGGGGCAGGTACCGTCGCAATGAAACCCGCTACCATCTCAAGCAGCTGGGCCTCGCGATGCACAACTATCATGACACGATGTCCCGTTTCCCTCCCGGCGGAATTTTTGATCCTGCCGGCCAGCCGCAGCACAGCTGGACCACACAACTGCTGCCCTTTCTGGATCAGGCCTATCTGTATAACCAGATCGATTTCGAGCAACCCTGGACAGCAACGGACAATCGGCCACATTTCGAGAACAGGTTACCTGTCCTGCAAAACCCGAAGTTAAACTATGATTATCAGCCGGGCGATCTCAGGCGAGACAACGCGCACCGCCTCAAGCCGGCACATTATGCCGCGAATTCCCATGTATTCAATGTGAATTCGGGCTCGAATATTCAGGAGATCAGCGACGGCACTGCGAATACTCTGCTGGCAGGCGAGGTGAATTCACAAATCAAAGCCTGGGGTGATCCGACCAACTTCCGCGATCCCACACGTGGTATCAACGCCGACCCTCAAGGATTCGGCAGCCCTTCAACAGGCGGCGTCTATTTTCTACTGGGAGATGGCTCCGTCCGTTTCATCAATGAAGACATCGATCCGGCAGTCCTCAAAGCCCTGGCAACGCCCGACGGCGGCGAACCAGTGGGGGAGTATTAAGCGATGCAGAAAAACAGCGCCACCAGCACAACGGAAACACCACCGTTGACTACACTGCAGCGGTTCTGGGTCGCGCTGGCAGGCGGCCTTATGTTGCTCGGTCTGACTCTCGGCCTGGGACTGTTCTTTCTGCCTCAGACAGTGTACGCACTGATGATCGGCTGGATCAGTTATCTCTGGCGCGTCGTGCCCACGTTGACCCTTTCAATTTCAGGGACACTCTGGTTCCTCTGCACCCTGAGTCTGTTCCTGATCGGAGTCCATCTGGTGGGTAGAAAACTGTATCGAGGAACGCCGACCACTGTGAAGCGGACCGAGTCAATGACGGGTGTTTCGCGGTGGAGACTCCGCTGGACGGCGACCCTGGTCAGCCTGTTACTGGTTCTGATCACCAGTGGCATCAGTCTGATTGGAATCTCGCATCAGCTGTGGTGGATGGCTGCTGGAGATCAGAGGGCTCTACTCAGAGAGCGTCCCCTCTCCCTGTTTTATCCGGTTGCTTTCATCGAAGGTCAGAGACGCCGGGCTTCTCTCAGCCACCTCAAGCAGATCGGCCTGGGAATGCACAATTATTATGACGAGCATGACCAGTTCCCGATAGCGACTGTCTTAAAAAATCAGATT